TTTTTTTTGGAGATGGAGTCTCGCTTCATTTCCCAGGCTGGAGTGCAGTGGTGTGATCTCGGCTCGCTGCAGCCTCTGCCTCCTGGGTTCAAGTGATTCTCTTGCCTCAGTTTCCTGAATAGCTGGGACAACAGGCACGTGCCACCACACCCAGCTAATTTTTTTATTTTTAGTAAAGATGGGGTTTCACCCTATTGGCCAGGCTGGTCTCAAACCCCTGACCTGGTGATCCGCCCGCCTTGGCTCCCACAGTGCGGGGGTGACGAGGTGAGCCACCACCCGCCGGGGCCTTGACTTTGAGCCCTAACTCTCACCTCCTAGGTGTGCACTGGGTAAATTCCTCATCTGGTTGAGCAGCCGTATCCTCACCTGTGAGAAGGGGACAGCTATGAAAGCTGAAACCACGCATGTTTGCTGTGGCGATTACCCGAGACACTGTGTGTTGAGGGTCTGTCATACTCGGGATAGGTCCATCGCTCTCACTGCTTTCCGTAAGAACCCTGAGAGGCTGGCGTGGGTATACAGGCACCTCCATGAGGAAGTTGGCATTCACGGAGGGGGATTGACTTGCCCATGTGCACGTGATTGAATGGAAGACTCGGATTCCTCAGCCTCTGAACCCTGCATGTTCCCCTGCCCCCGTGCTGTGTCCAGGCACCCTCTAAGACTCGGGAAGGGACTGTTGGCCCAGTCTGCAGAAGCTGCCAGTAAGCGCCAGGTCATGGGTAGCGGGGCAGAGGAGGGGCTTTGGGTAAATCCGACCAGGTGCCGTGGAGTTGGCCTGAGGCTTATGCTGATGCGTGGAGAGAACTGCCTCAAGGGGTGGTCTCAAAACACCAAGCTGTACCCCACGAATGTGTACAACTGCAATGTGTGAGTTAAAAAATCAGGGCCTGCACAGTAGTGCATACCTGAAATGCCAGCTCTTCAGGAGGCTGGGGCAGGAGGATCACTTGAGCCCAGGGCAACATAGCAGCCTGGCCAGCGTAGTGAGACCCTGTCTCTAGAAAAATAAATACAGTCAGGCACGGTGGCTCACGCCTGTAATCCCAGCACCTTGGGAGGCCGAGGCGGGCGGATCACCTGAGGTCAGGAGTTCGAGACTGACCTGGCCAACATGGTGAAACCCCGTCTCTACTAAAAATACAAAAATTATCTGGGCGTGGTGGTGCGTGCATGTAATCCGGCTACTTGGGAGGCTGAGGCAGGAGAATCACTTGAACCCAGAAGATGGAGTCTGCAGTGAGCTGAGATCACGCCACTGCACTCCAGCCTGGGTGACAAGAGCAAGACTCCATCTCAAAAAAAAAGAAGAATGACAAAGCCTTTCAAAAGGCAGATGTATCCAGTTCTTTGCCTTCCGCAAAACTGATGGAAGATTTAATTTTCAACTGAGAGATCATTTCAAGTAATTTCACATAGCAGGCATAGATGCAATTTCAGGCGGGTAACACAGAAAGAGGTTAAAGAGCTGCATAACATGGCTGCGATGAAACTCTACAGCCTCCTCTGCTTCTCTGTGAACAAAATGTTTCATTGTTCACGTCCCTTTTTTGCTCGTTTTAGAGACACGGTCCTGCGTTGCCCAGGCTGGTCTCGAACTCCTGCCATCCTGTAGCTAGGAGCCATCGCACCCGCACAGCTGTTAAAACCAAAACCATGAACAGAACTGAGGTCGAACCTCGTTTTCCTCTCGCGAAAGACAGTATCATACAGATACGTGAACTAAAAACATGCTCTGCCCATCTCATTGAGAGAGAATTCCACCAAAAACTTTGCTACTTAATATTTATTAAAATGTGTCATGCATAGCTTACTTTTTTTTTTTTTTCTCTCTGAGACAGCATCTCACTCTGTCGCCCAGGCTGGAGTGCAGTGGTGCAATCTTGGCTCACTGCAACCTCTGCCTCCCAGGTTCAAGCGATTCCTCTGCCTCAGCCTCCTGAGTAGCTGGGATTACAGGCACCACCACGCCTGGCGAATTTTTGTATTTTTAGTAGGGTTGGGGTTTCGCCATGTTGGCCAGGCTGGACTCGATCTCCTGACCTTGTGATCTGCCCGCCTCAGCCTTCTAAAGTGTTGGGATGACAGGCGTGAGCCACCGCACCTGGGCCCCTTTTTGATTGTATACTGCCAGTCATGGGACTAACTGATCCTGAATATATTAATATCTGGAGCCTTGAATTCTCAGGAAATTTTGGTTTTCAGTGTACACAGATTTTTTTTTCTTTGTGGAAGCAAAATATAATGGTGAACAAAGGACTTGAAAGTATAAAAATATAAACTAGGACAACATTCTTTAGGCGAAATGGAAAGAAGTTCAAGGACAGAGATGAGGCAGGAGTTCTGTGAGGGAAAGAAGAGCTTGTTCATGTGCTTTTTCAGTGGATGATTGTGGGTATCACATCACTAGGGCCTTTAGATCCCACTGAATACATGTGAGACAATGATGTCACACTTGTGTTTTAAGATGGCAATATTGATATTATTCTGGAAATCATACTCTTGGCAACTGTTTAAACTTGGAAATGTTCAGATGTTGACTTAAAAGTGTGCCAGGGAGTTCACAGTTGCTCAAAATTAGTTCGCAGGTGTGCAGGCAGATGGGTGCGAAGGCCCGAGTTACCGAAACAGAATCTGGAACAGTCCTGTGTGAGGGTGCCTCTGATCTCTCCTGGGGTCTGCACCTCCCTGGGCTCCGGCCCGAGCCTGGGGGCTTCCCCATCTGCTTACTGGGGAGCCAGCGGCTTGGCCAAGTCAGCTCCTTGCATCTTCACGGCTGCCCCATGGAGGGGGTTCTGTTGCTGGCCCTCGTGTGCAGATGGAAAAACTGAGGCTTAGTGAGTTTAAAACTTGCCAGGATTCGCCGGGCACGGTGGCTCACACCTGTAATCCCAGCACTTTGGGAAGCCAAGGCAGGCGGATCACAGGGTCAGGAGATTGAGACCATCCTGGCCAACACGGTGAAACCCCTGTCTCTACTAAAATACAAAAAATTAGCCGGGTGTGGTGGCAGGCGCCTGTAATCCTAGCTACTCAGGAGGCTGAGGCAGGAGAATCGGTTGAACCTGGGAGGCGGAGGTTGCAGTGAGCCGAGGTTGCGCCACTGCACTCCAGCCTGGGTGACAGAGCAAGCCTCTGTCTCAAAAAAAAAAATGCCTGCCTCACCCTCGACCAGATCAAACACCACCAAAAAAAACCTTGCTGGCATCCAGGCCCAGGCAGGCTCCTGAGCGTGGCCTGACTCTTCATTGCACTTGTTCAGCACCTCCACATGCATGGCCGGGCCCCCCAATGGGCTGGTGCCTCCAGACCATTCCAGTGTGGAGAGGAGGACGAGGTGCTAACCTTCTGTGAGCCTCGGTTTCTGCATCTGTGAAATGGGGTAGTAAGGGCCAGCTCTCGGGCTGACAGGTCAGGAACAGGTCTCAGGGGCAGGAGTGCCTAGCAGAGTCTGCCTGCCTCCCTCGAGGCAGGGGTCCTTCTCCAGCTGGGGCTAGAGGGGCCTGGGATCTCGGCCCCCCAAGGTTGATTTCCAGGTAAACGTCAGCTTATCCCAGCCGCTCACTTCCGCCTTCCTGTGTAGCTGGCTCTGGGTGGTGCCGACCCACGGGGAGAGCTCTGGCTTGGCCTCCGACTGGCACCCTCTTACCCACATTTTCTCTCTGCAGCTGGACCCACAAACTGTGGAGACCAAGAACTGGCACACGGATGTGATTGAGATGAACGGGGTGAGCGGGGGATGGGAACGAGGTCTGTGAGGTGGGTGGGCAGCCGGCCCTCTGGGGGCGTGAGTGAGATGAAGGGGTGAGTAGGTGATGGGAATGTCTGTGCAGGGAAGGCAGCCCTCTGGCTGTTTCTGGGGCTACTGTGCCACCTCGACCAGTCCCATCTTCCCGCCTGCCCTTGCCCTGCCTGCTGCTGCCCTGCAGGTTTTGAGAAGGCCTGGGTGTGAGCTAACTCTCATCTGCAGTCTTGGGGGGACCCCAGTGTTTTGGGGTACCCCTCAATCACTCATGCCCTGGGGAACTTGTGCCTGCCTCACCCCCAACCAGATCAAAGTGGAATTCTCCATGAAATTCACCAGCCGGGATATGAGCCTGAAGAGGACCCCGTCCAAGAAGCAGACGGGTGTCTTTGGCGTGAAGATCAGCGTGGTGACTAAGTAGGTGCTGCCTTCGGCCTCCGAGTCCTGGCGCCAGTACCCCGTGTCCCTGCCAGCCTGGGCCCCCCAGCCCTCCCTGCCTGTGCCCATCCTGGCCTCTAATCTGTCACCCCAGCTCAGCGGTGGCAGACAGCCAGTGTGGAGCTAGAGCGGCCGCAGAGATGCTCACGCGACCCTTTGGAAGCACATTGGCCAGCACTTAAACGCTGGAAAGTCTCATGTGAAACCCCAGATCATCTGCTCCTCATGATAAGCGGGAACGTGTCAGCCGGGGGCCTGCATTTGGGCTCGGCACCAGCAGGGACTGGCCGCCCCCGGGAAAGGGCACGTCCCCCAGTTCCCACTGCCCCGGCCCCTTGTCTCAGTCCTGACCCACCTCCTTATGAAGGCTGCCTGCTGGCCCTCCTGCAAGCATCTGAGTCTGGGGGACACCCTTTCCCTAGAGACTCAGCCTTCCCTTCCCAAGTTCCCAAGCCTTCTGCCCGAGGCCTCTGCTGCCCTGCATAGGCTGGCAGGGATGGGCAGGCTAGGGCAGGCTGGCTGGGGCGGGCGGGGCGCGGTGGCCTCTTTCTCAGCTCCCCATCCCAGATGCTGGAAGCTCCCCAGGGCGCGTGTGTGCTGGGTGGGGGCTACTGTGGGGGAGCTGTCGTGGGGACCGCCTTCCACCCGTCCTCACGCCCACCCCAGGCGGGAGCGCTCCAAGGTCCCCTACATCGTCCGGCAGTGTGTGGAGGAGGTGGAGAAGAGGGGCATCGAGGAGGTTGGCATTTACCGGATATCGGGTGTGGCCACGGACATCCAGGCCCTGAAGGCCGTCTTTGATGCCAGTGAGTGTGGGAGACCTGGCCGGCGGCTGTGACACTGTCCCAGTAGGCTGTGGGGGGGAGCGCTCAGGGATCCAGGAGGCTTCGTGGAGAGGCCAGGCCTGCCCACAGCAGAGGAGGCTTGGTCGGTTTCGAGTCCCTGTGGCAGGTGCTTTTTCTGCATTTTCTCATGGAATCCCTCCCCTCGCGTCTCTAATCCATCGCTGCGGGTAAGGAAACTGCAGACACGAAGAAGGGCTGGGTCGCTTGCCCAGGACAACCCAACTTGTAGGTTTTGGCTCTGGACTGAAACTCAGGTCTGACTCAAGTCTGCGTGACTGGCTTTCTTGCTAGTGCTGGGTAAGCCACAGGGAAAGAGCAGTAAGCCTGCACCTGCCGTCTTCAGGCCCCAGACCCCTCCAGGGCAGCTCTGCCTCTTGTCAGGCCCACAGTGGTGAGGCCTGAGCTTTCTGGCTTCTGCTCCCTGCTCCTGCTGCTTCAGGCTACAGCCACCACGTGCCAATAGTCAGGACACCTGCACCAGCCAGGCAGGGACGAGTCTGCCAGGAGCCGAGAGGGCCTGGAGAGAGGTGGGGCGGGGCCGGGGAACTCACTGGCGCTCAGCTCCCCTGGGCAGCCTGAAAGCTGAGGCTTTGTCAGAACACGCTTTTACGTGTCAAAATGTGCAGTGCCTTCCGAGAGGGGCTGAGTGACAGGGACGTTCCAGTTGGGAGGCAGGTGTGGGCCACATGATGTGAACGTGGCTCTGAGCTCTGGGTGATGAATCTCACTCCCCGGTCACCCCTTCCCGAGCAGCCACAGCAGGTGGACCCCAGGCTGTCTCTTCCTGCTCCTCTAACCCCAGCCCACAGAAACTTGCGGGCACCCTAGGTCCTGCCTTTCCAGGGGAGACCAGCACTGAGATGGAATGGGTGGGGGCTGCCTCAGGAGGGCTGGGGGGATGGGACAGGCTGAGGCTGCGTGACCATGGCTCCTCCCCTGCAGATAACAAGGATATCCTGCTCATGCTCAGTGACATGGACATCAACGCCATCGCCGGCACACTCAAGCTCTACTTCCGGGAACTGCCCGAGCCCCTCCTCACGGACCGACTGTACCCAGCCTTCATGGAGGGCATCGGTGAGGCCCTGAGGGCTCCAGGGGGCCAGGCTGGGCTGGGCCAGGACTCCCTGGCCGGAGAAGTAGCCAGCAGGAGAAATCCCTGTGGCCTGCCTTGTTGGCTGACCTTCCCAGGGCACTGGGGCCTGGGGCTGAGGGCCGGAGGGTGGGCTGTGGCCTGCTGGGACCTGGTGTGAGGCTGGACCCTTTCTCGCCTGCCTCTTGCCCCTCCTGTCCCCATGGTGCCCCCTCTGCTTCCTATTTGGACACTGATCTCCTGCTTGGAAGCTCGAGTATCCAGGAAAACTGTCCTGAGTGGCAGAAGCCAGCACCCCAGAGCCGGGCAGGAGGCTGGTTCAAGCCAGAGGACACTTGAGGCAGGCTGTGCTGGGCCTTCCAGCGAGACCACACACTGTCCTGTCACCTCTGCTGAGGGCCCCGGCCGGCTCTGCGTCGTGCCCGCTTGGGCCAAAGCCAGGTCCCTGGGTATCCCTCCGGCCTTCTCTCCTGGGGCATCTCACAGAAAGCTGCTCACATGCATGCGCCAGCACAGAGGGGGGTGAGAAAGAGCAGTCTCTCACGCCACGGGCAGGACCTGCCCCTGCTGGCTCAACCTTCACTGCACAGACCAGGGCCAGGGATGACCCGCGACCAAGGCCCAAGCGGCCAGCTGCAAGAAGAGGGTCTGCTCCCGCCAGCCGGCCTCCTGACTGAGTCGTGGCCGGGCTTTGTGGCTGAGTTGTGGCATGGCCTCCTGGCTGAGTCGTGCCTGGGCCCCATGGCTGAGTCGTGGCCAGGACTCGTGGCTGAGTCGTGGCCGGGACTCGTGGCTGAGTCGTGGCCGGGACTCGTGGCTGAGTCGTGGCATGGACTCGTGGCTGAGTCGTGGCATGGCTTCGTGGCTGAGTCATGCCCAGGCCTCCTGAAGGAAGCAGCTGCTTACAGACCTCACCCTCCCCGGTGAGGTGTGCTCCCCAAGTGCCGGAAGCCTGAGCTGTCCGCAGGGGCCCCCAGCCTCGTGACCACAGGGGCTCTGGCAGGGAGCCCCCAGAACCGAGAACCGCCCTGGCTCCTTCTCTCCCACAGCCCTGTCCGACCCTGCTGCCAAGGAAAACTGCATGATGCACCTGCTGCGCTCCCTGCCCGACCCCAACCTCATCACCTTCCTCTTCCTGCTGGAACACTTGAAAAGGTAACGGGGGGGGGGTGCCACGGAGGAAGGGGCACCAAGGGAGGTACGGGACGCCAATAGGCCTCAGCCAGGGGGTGCAGGTCCTGCTGGAGGACCCACCTCAGCCCTCCGCATGGGCGCTGGTCACTGTCGGGCCGTCCGTGCGGGGTGAGAGTTTGCTTCCCAGCTTCTTGCACTCATGCTCTTCTGCTTTGAGAATATTTGGGTCTCAACAGTAACCTCAGAGATTGGCCACGCGATATTCAGAACAGCAGAGTGAGCGCCAGGGGCTGCAGGCACGTAGATAACAGCAGGTCCCACCTCCCAGTGGCTCACTCAGCCCGTGTAGCCTTTGCTAAATGAAATGGAGAGCGGATAGTATCAGGCTGCACGCCAGGCCTTGGGTGCAAGTGCCACCGTTCTGCTCCATTACACAGAGAGCAGACGTGTGTCCTGTGTTATAGCATAGCGTGTTATCGGCCGGGCGTGGTGGCTCATACCTGTAATCCCAGCACTTTGGGAGGCCAAGGCGGGTGGATCATGAGGTCAGGAGATCAAGACCATCCTGGCCAACATGGTGAAACCCCATCTCTACTAAAATACAAAAAATTAGCCAGGCATGGTGGCAGGTGCCTATAGTCCCAGCTACTCGGGAGACTGAGGCAGGGGAATAGCTTGAACTTGGGAGGCGGAGGTTGCAGTGAGCCGAGATCAAGCCACTGCACTCCAGCCAGGCAACAGAGCAGGACTCTGTCTTAAAAAAAAAAAAAAAAAAAAAGTGTTATCGTGGCCCACAGTGAAAACACGTGAGACCCACTGGTCCTGGCCCACTCCTCACTTAACACAGGGAAGGTGAGCCCCCACACCCAGCGGGGACTTGCTGGGGTTAGTGGCACATCCGTCCTTAGAACCCACGACTTCCAGATCCTAATTCAGACCCTTCTTGCCTTCCCACCACCCGTTCTGTGGTCAGTCCAGCCAAGAGCTGCGGACGTGGGTACCTGCAGCAAAGCTCAGAACTGAAGGTGGCCTGAAGGGTCCTCAGGCTTGCGTGGGGAGGAGCCTCCCTTCAATCCACCTGCCTCCTAGGACCCGGAAGCCCCTTGAGCGGACTGCGCTGCAGGGCAAACAGTTCCTCCTGGAGCTCAGCCCCAGCTCAGGGCCAGGCCCCCTGTACCCTCCATGTGGCTCAGCCAGGCCAGGCTCTGGAGAGCCAGCGGAGACCTGATCGCGCCCGGGGCTGATGCCTTGTTTTTCTCATTATGAGACATTTTTCCTCTGGTTTGGCCAGGACCGGAGCCCCAACCAATCCCGAAATCGCTTGGCAAGCCTTGTGGGGAGGGGTGGGAAGGGATCGTTCACTCGGTTTCCACCCTGGGAACTGGGCACAGTCTGTTCCCACATCTGGGCCCCGTGCACACGGTGAGGGCCGGCCCACTGCACAGCGGCCTGTCGGCATCACAGTGTGTCTGCCCGTTTCCAAAGCAGGCGGCCTTGGCTCCCGCCTGGGGGTGGGAATGATGGTATGGAGAGGGTGACAGGCACTCTTAGGGTGGGTGGGTCTCACCCAGAAACATTCGCTGAGATTGAAGGAGAACCAGAGCCCCTCTGATGGGTTGGAGAGCAGCCCCACCCCAGGGAAGCATCGCAGAGCATCTGGCCTATTGAGCAAGAGAAGCGGGGGAGGACCCAGAGGGCAGCGGCCAGGGAGGACGGCGCTGGCTCATCCGGGAGGAGGGCTGCTCCTGCCCCAGCACAGCTGGCAGAGCCCTGGGTCTGGCTAGAGATGGTGGCCGGGTGGGCTCCAGGCCCTGCCTGCCTTTCCCCCCTGCCCAACCCACTGTGACTCTTCCTCCAGCCACTCGGCCCATGAGTAAGCAGCACCAGTGGTTAAGAGTGTCATTCTGGAGGCAGCTACCTGGGTTCCAGTCCCAGACAATGGGGGTGATGATGATATTTACCTCAAAGGGCGAGTATGGGTCGTTACAGGGAAGGTTCTCAGAACAGCACCGCCTCTCGGGGAAGGGAGCCGGAGCGGGAACAGCACCGCCTCTCGGGGAGGGGCGCTGGAGTTGGTATCTGAGGGTCCTTGGGCTCAGGCAGTTCGCTACCAGTTCAGGGGAACGCTGCAGCTGGAGATGTCAGCATATGGCTGGACCCTACTCCCCTGGATGAGTCCCCGTCCCCCCACAGAGGTTTCCACTTCTAGGAGAGGGAGACAAGGTGACCCTCTTCCAGGCGTCCTTAAAGACCTCCTACGGCGAAGGCCGGGGGTCCCAGAGCTCCGAGTCGCTGCTCGGACGGGCTGATCAACCCCCCGCCACGCGTCTTCTCCTTTTCAGGGTTGCCGACAAGGAGCCCGTCAACAAAATGTCGCTTCACAACCTGGCTACTGTGTTTGGACCCACGTTACTGAGGCCCTCGGAAGTGGAGAGCAAAGCACACCTCACCTCGGCGGCGGACATCTGGTCCCACGATGTCATGGCACAGGTACCCCTGGCAGCACCCAGGCCGGGGCTGGAGGGTGAGACGAGTCCCCACGCCTCTTCCCTCGTGGGAAGCTGGGTTGATGGGCTGTGGGGTCACTGGGAGGAGGACTACAGACACTTCTGCACCCCCCCCCAAGCCAAAACAAAAACGTTTGAGCCTAGACCAGGCCAGAGGGCGTCTGTCCCAGATGCTGGCTGCATTCTCAGGTGGGCCTGGGTCTCGAAGAGCCAGCCCAGGAGTCTGGGAGGTCCTTGTCCGCACGTGTGGAAGCTCTGAGGCTGCTCCCAAGGGCGGAGGCTTCTCCAGGGCCCAGAGCAGGGGCCAGACCGTGGCTGCCCCAGGATGGAGCGGAAGCTTATGGCCAGGTTGGGGAAGGGGCCCTAGGCCCCCCGCCCTCTGCCCCGCGGCGCCTTCCATGGCTGCAGAAAGGCAAACCCCCCTGCTGGGCCGCCCAGGAAGGGGAGGCAGTGGGCACTGTCTAGGGGGTGGGAGGGCAACAGCAGCTGGCCCACGGGGCCACGTCGTGTCACGTGGATGGCACGGCTCAGCCTTCCTGTCTCCCCGCAGGTCCAGGTCCTCCTCTACTACCTGCAGCACCCCCCCATCTCCTTCGCAGAACTCAAGCGGAACACACTGTACTTCTCCACTGACGTGTAGCCCGAGGCAGGGCGGCCGTGGGGCGGCTGAGCCAGCCCCTCCAGCCCGGGCCCAACTCAGACTTGAAGGACTGCAATAGAAAACTCCCACACCCAGCACTCCAGGCTCCAGGGAAGCCAGCTTCCAAGAACTGGAACTCGTGTGTCTTTCGTGCCACCTTGTACAAAGCCGGCCCAGCCCCGCCTCGCCAGCGCGCCCGCCTCGCGCCCTCCGGCCTCTAGCGTGCCCAGCTCCCTCTGCGCTGTTGGGAGTTCTCTGCACACCTGTTGTGTGGGGAGGGCAGTGGCGCCTGCGTGGGCACACAGACAGCCGCCTTGTCCTTCCGTGTCCTTCAGCACTTTCTTCCTCCCGAGTCCGGCCGAGGGCTCTCGTTTCGCGCTGCGCGGCCGCTGCCAGCTTCTCCTCTCTCGGCCCTGCTCCCGGATGGCCCTCTCCCGGCCGCCTCCCTGTCTGCCTCCACCCTCTCCTCCTTCCCAGCCCGCATGCATGTGCACCCTGGGTTCTCGCCATTGCCCTGACGGCTCCGAGGAGGCCCTGGCTGGCGGGCAGCGGTGGCCCGCCTGATGCTGCCCTGGGTTGCCGCCGGCCCCTCCTCGACCTCCGCCTGCGGGGGCACACCTGCTTTGCCTTGCTGCCTGTGCAAATGTTGGACAAGGAGACACACTCATCCCCAGCTCAGTAAAGCTGGAGCGCGCATTTCTGGAATTTTCCCTTTGGGAATCTCCACTTCTGGGGTTTAACTCTTCTGCCTCCTGGCTGCCAGTGAGGCGTCTCGGACTGTCTTCTGCTTCTCAGTTCCCCTCCCGGGTGTTCTATTTCCTTGGAGTGTCAAGACTCACAAGGGACCTGCTATTGAGATAGCCGGAGGGTCAGGACAGAGCGGGGCGGAGGCAGAGTCAGGCTGCTGAGGAAACACAGCACTGGGAGTCCCAAGTCTTGGGTGAGCAGCTCTTAGCAGCGAGTTATGGGGGCTTTTCAAGTGGAGCCAGGCTTCCTGGAGGGTGACGGATGTGGCTGAAGCAGGTGTCCAGGCAGGCAGGCTGCAGCCAGGCACTCCCTGGCACCGCAGGACCTCGTGGCAGTCTTGCCTTAGATTTTACACACTCTCCACAGCTGAGCACTGCCACGGGTGCTCCAGGGCCTGGGAAGGGAAGGCACAGGCCCGTGGTGGCCAGCCCTCGGGTGCCGCCCCGGCCTCGGGACGCAGCCTTCTGGGTCCACGCTGGGAACTCCAGAAGCTGGGGGTAGAGTGAGGAATCGGCCGCCCGCCTTTCGGGCAGGGTTTGCTGAGGCCTCCCGTTGGCACTGTCCGGCAGAGTAGGGACCCACAGCTTCCGTTCCCAACTTGGAGACGCACTGCTCAGTACTAGGAAGGAGCGAGACGTGTTCCCACAGGCTGCCGCTGCCAGCCTCGGGCCGTCGGCCTGGAGAGCAGACAGCTGCAGGCACCTGAGCTGTCGCTGTAGGTACAGCTCTTCTCCGGCAGAGTCGTTTCTGGGCCTCAGGATTGGGGAGTGGTTCCTACTGCTGTGCTGAGGGCTGTCGTCAGGAAGGGTGTGCCGGCCCAGCGCTGTGGTGCTGGCTCGGTGGGGCAGGGCCCTTTCTGATCCCGTTCAAGCCTCTGGCCTTGGGCAGAACAGTAAATATGCCGTGCACGGAGGAGAGGAGGAGGAAATACCAGCCAGCTGCCTGTGAGCAGCTTAGCCAGGAGCCCGTGCTCCCTGGACAGGTGGTGAAGGAGAAAGAGTGCCACCTGAGGCTAAGACACCAGTGCCTGGCTGTTCCCGAGTGTCGTGTGTGGGGAGTCTCAAGAAAGACCGAGTGTCTGGTTGTTCCTCAGTGTTGGTGTGGGGCGAGTCTAAAGACCCAGCACCTGGACATCACTGAGGTCCCTGCGTGGCATCCAGGTGTCTGTGTGGCGAGTCTGAAGACCCAGTGCCTGGCCATTCCCGAGTGTCAGTATGTGGCATCCGAGCGTCATGTGGGGCGAGTGTAAAGAAAGATTGGCCGTTCCCGAGTGTCGTGTGTAGTGAGTCTGAAGACCGAGCGCCTGGATGTCCCTGAGGTCCCTGCATGGCATCCAGGTGTCAGTGTGTGTGGCGAGTCTAAAGACTGAGCACCTGGACGTCCCTGAGGTCCCTGCATGGCATCCAGGTGTCAGTGTGTGTAGCGAGTCTAAAGACCGAGCGCCTGGACGTCCCTGAGGTCGCTACATGGCATCCAGGGGTCAGTGTGTGTGGCGAGCGCCTGGCCATTCCCGAGTGTCAGTGTGGGGCACAGAAAACTCCCCATTGCTTCCAAAGCAATTGACAGGAAGGGGCAGAGCGAGTCCCAGCCCAGCCTGGGCACCTCTCACCTCCCAAACAAGGCCTGTTCAGGTCTCGGCACCGGGGAGCCCCCCAGCCCCAGGCTTGCTGAGGCAGTGTGAGAACGGGTGGTGAGAAGGCTGGACGGGCTGAGAAACATGAAAGGCTCCTATTTATAATCCCACCCAGAGTGGGGGGGTCAGGTGCCAGACCTGGCCTGAACTGCACCACGGAAGTCCCCAGCGGGTTCTCCTGTGACACGGGGCCTGTGCAGCCCAGAACCTCGGCCACTATGCCCCACAGGGTGGGCTGTGCCAGCCGGGGTCAGGCCGCAGGACTCGCAGGCTGGCTTGTCCTTGAGGGGCAGTGGCCGATGGCTGCCAGTTCCTGCCAATACACAGGTGGGATGGGACCCTTCGTTAATATCTGACTTTAATAAGTTGGCAAGGATATATTTTTTTGTCTACATTCTGTTTCAACTTATGTAGATTATAAATTGATGTAAACCATGTGAAAGGAAAATGTTAATAAAAAAATGCAAAGCCCCAACATTTGCACAAAACTCAGCCCTGCGGTGTGGATGTTTGTGTTCGCCGTGGTCCGGGGAAGCCACGAATCTAAATATTTAACTCTTCCAGCTGCATCCAGATGTGAGTTTCCAGGCATGTTTACCTAGTTCACTCCCCTTGAGCCTCCCTGTGGCCATGGGGGCTGAGGCAGAGCTGGGGGAGGTGGGCTCGAGGCCTCTCCTTGCTCCTCACAAGGCCCCCGATCAGCCAGCATCCAGGCCACTTGTGGTCTCGCCTTGGGCATTTGTGTACAGTTCCTTTCGCAAAGTGAAAATGTCCACCTGGGACCTGGCCATGGCACAAGGTTGTCCATTGAAGAGGAAGCTGCTTATTTTCTGTGATCATTTCTCTACATCTTCCTTCCACGTGGTATATCTTTGAGGCAGCCTCTGGTCTAACCTGCTTGTCAGAGAAGCTGGATCCCCGAGGCCCCCCCGCTTTGGGAGAGCAGTGGCGTTGATGTAGGCTCCTACCAGCCTCAGCAACTGGACACTGAGTTTATTCTGAAGATCAGGAACAGATGTCTCTGAAAATTGCTGTTTGGTTTATGAGCTCATACTGGCTCCGCAGCCATCTAAAACAGGAAACGATTCATCTCCTCTCGAGTGAATAGGCAGTGTGGGCAATGCCTGGCTTACTGAACCGACAGCCACTGACAGTGTCCCCTCCCCCCAGCTTGTGGCATTTCTTGTACTGGGTCCCACGTGCTAAACGGAAAGACAGAAGATCCCAGACACCCCAGGACTGCGCCAGGTAGGAGTGTCCGACGGCCCTTTCCACGTGCTAGATGGAAAGTCAGAAGATCCCAGGCACCCCAGGACCACACCAGGTGCCAGGTAGGAGTGTCTGATGGCCCTTTCCACGTGCTAGATAGACGATCCCAGACACCCCAGGACTGCGCCAGGCGTCAGGTACGTGTCTGATGGCCCTTTCCATGTGCTAGATGGAAAGAAGATCCCAGGCCACGCCAGGACCATGCCAGGTGCCAGGAAGGAGTGTCTGATGGCCCTTTCCACGTACTAGACTGAAAGTCAGAAGATCCCAGGCACCCCAGGACCGCGCCAGGCGCCAGGTAGGAGCACCTAATGGCCCTTGCTTTAGAGTGCTGGTGCCCTGTATTGGGGGCAGTAGAGGCAACAGTGTCTCCTGGGCTCGGGGGAGTTCTCCAGCTGGCCTAGCAGTGATGAAGCCTCCTAGCTGTGAGAGAGGGAGGGGCGTTATATAGAATTCACCATACAAGGACATGAGCCCTGAGCTCACATTCATTCCCAGGAAATGGCAAACACGGCCCGGGGAAGGTGCCACCAGCTGGGTTTGATCATCAGTCACACACAGACAACACTCGGGACGCCATGTATGCCGAGTCTGAAGTCTGGCTAAGAGCGCGTGGGCTAGAAGACAGGGCAGAGGAGGAAGAAGGCAAAAAAGAAGGGGTAGCAGAATTACTGTGATAGGAAAAAGGAGACTCTACCACTGGCTAAAGGTGCCCAGAACTGCGTGGCCCCCACCAAGCTACCTGCCTGTGCCCCACCCAAGAGCAAAGGCCTGACTCCATCAACTTCCTCTCTCCCCAAAAGCAGCAGCAGTGGTGAAGCCCAATTGTGGATGGCTTTTTCCCCCCATGGCACACAGGTAAGAAAGAGACCACAAGATCAAGTCGAAAACATCAACATGTTAAAACACTTCCCTGACGCTGGAGAACGAGGGTGGTGGTGAGCAGCCCCTCAGCGACATCTGATCTTGGCCAGTAGCTGCTGTGACCAAGTCCCCAGGATGAGCACAGCAGGACCCTTCACAGGTGGTCGAGCTGGCCTGGGCCAGTGGTTCCATCATGAAACCAGTGTGTGGCTCAGCAGACTGCAGGCATGCCTCTCGGCCAGCAAAGGAGGGGCTCCGGAGAGGCCCTCCAGTTCATGGATCCGGTGCCGTGCATTCTAGGAAGAGGCCGGACCAGGCTCTTGATGCAAGCCCTGGCAGATGTAATGATCTTGCTGAGGACGACACAGTGCTCCAGGAACCCTGAGAACCCGCCGTCCCCAGAGCG